GTAAATCCTCAACGCAAGGAATTGGGTATTTATCCAGCTGTGAGAAGTGGTTTACAGTTTGTTTAAAATCCCCACAAATCTGTTGGGCTTCACAATTGGTATGAGTGGTACTGCCCATTCTGAATACTGTATTGGTTTGATAATTCCTTCGCTTTCCAGCCCCCTGATTTCTGCTTCTACTTTTGGACAGAAGGCAAATGGCGCTGGGTGGGCTTTGCAGAATCATGGAATTGCTTCCTGGTCAACACATAAGGTGACCTTGGCCCCTTTGATAGTTGCTAGACCTTTCTGAAAAACTTCTGGGTATTTAATTAGGACTTCACTCAGGCAGCCATTTTCTGATGGAGAAATGTTGAGCCAATCAAGTTGAATCTTTCTCAACCAAATTTGCTCCATCAGGCTTCGGCCTGAGCCTTTTACTACAATCGGTGCTAACTGAACCAGCTCTCTCTCATACAAGTTCAGAAACAAAGGTATACCCTTAAACTGGAAAGGTGTCCCGGTATAGGTTCTCGGTTTAGCTGGTGTGTTATGCAAACTTAAGGAATGGAGTCCAGAGCGAATTTTATTAAAGACTAGTTTTTTAATCACTGATACAGCCATGCTGGTATCGACTTCCATTAGAACCAGGTGACCATTTAACCAGATGTTTATTTTGATTGGCTCTGATTTGGATGTTGCTAAAAAATTTAACTGTTCCAAGCCAGATGTTGGTGGGCATTCCAGGGTGTGCACTTGACTTTGTTTTGGGATTTTGCTGTGGGCTGACCTAGAGTTCCTTGGTTCAGGATGTGCCGTAAGTGAGGCTATTAACTGTCTTCACTCAAGTGGTGTCCCCCAATCTCAGATGGCCTGGCGAGGATGTCCACTTCCATCTGCATACTCTGTAGCTCATGTAGAGTCATAGAGTCATACAGCACGGAAACTTACTCTTCGGTCTAACCAGTCCATGCTGGACATAATTCCAAACTAAACTAGTCCCACCTGCCTGCTCCCAGCCCATATCCCTCCAAACTTTTCCTATTCATCTACTCATCCAAATGTCTTCTACAAGTTGTAATTTTGCCCACATCCACCACTTCCTCAGGATGTTCATTCCACACAAAAACCACCCTGTGTAAAACATTTGTCTCTCCTGTCTTTTTCAAATCTCTCTCCTCTCACCTTAAAATGTGCCCCCTAGTCTTGAAATCCCCCATCCTTCGGAAAAGACAACTACCATCAACTCCATTTATACCCCTCATTATTTTATAAACTTCTTTCTCAACCTCCTATGCTCCAGTGTAAAAAGTCCTCGACTATCCTGCCATTCTTTATAACTCAAACTATCCTTACCTGGCAACAACCTGGTAAATCTCTTCTGAACCCTTTCCAGCTTAATAGCATCCTTCCTATAACTGGATGACCAGAACTGGACACAGTATTCCAGGAGAGGCCTCACCAATGTCCTGTACAACTTCAGCATGACTTCCCAACTCCTACACTCAAAGGACTGAGCAATGAAGGCAAGCTTGCCAAATGCCTTTTTAACCATCCTGTCTATATGTAACACAAACATCAAAGAATTATGTACCTACACCCCTAGGTCCCTCTGTTCGACAACACTACCCAAGGCCCTACCATTAATTGTATAAGCCCTGCCTTTGTTTGTTGTACCAAAATGCAATACCTTGCATTTATCCAGATTGAACTCCATCCACCATTTTTCAGCCCATTGGCCCATTTGATCAAGATCCCTGCATAATCTTAGAAAACCTTCTTCACTGTCTGCTATGCCACCAATTTTGGTGTCATTCTCAATCTTACTAACCACGCCTTCTATATTCTCATCCAAATCATTTACATAAATGACAAACAAAAGAGGACCCTGAACCAATCCCTGTGGAAAACTGCTGGCCACAAGCCTCCAATCCAAAAAGCAACCCTCCACCATTACTCTGTTCCTGCCATTAAGCTAATTATGTATCCATTTGGCAAGTTCACAGTAAATCCCATGTGACCCAACTTTACTAATTAGTCTATCATGTGGAAACTTATCAAAGGCTTTGCTAAAATCCAAATAACAATGCCTGCTGTTCTGCCGTCAATCTTTTTGGTAACTTCTTCAAAAAACTCAATCCAGTTTGAGAGACATGATTTTCCTCACAAAACCATGCTGACTATCCCCATTCAATTTTTGCCTCTCTAAATGTCCATAAATCCTATCGTTTATAATCAATTCCAACAATTTACCATACCTGAAGTCAGACTCACAGGTCTATAGTTCTCTGGTTTCACCTTACAACCTTTCTTTAACAAAGGGACAACATTAGCCACCCTCTAGTCATCAGGCACCTCACCCATAGTTATGGATGATACAAGTATTTCTGCAAGGGGTCTTGTAATTTCCTCCCCTACTTTCCACAACATTCTCAGATAAATTAGATCAGGTCCCAGAGATTCATCCATCTTTGTATTCTCTAAGACTTCCCAAACTGCCTCTTCTGTAATGTGAACTGTTTTTAAAACATAACAGTTTATTTCTGTGCATTCTCTAGACTCCATTTCTTTCTCCACAGTAAAAACTGGCACAAAATATTAATTTAGTATCTCTCCCGTCTCCTGAACACTTGCCTCATTTTCTCATGTCAAAGCCAATTATAGTATCTGTTTGAAATCCAGTTGGGCTTCAGCAAGTAGGTGCTTTTGCATGGTTACATCATTAATCCCACATACCAACTGGTCTCTCAGTATCTCATTAAGGTTTAAATTAAAGCCACATGCCTCTGGCAGTCATCTTAACCTTATCAAAAATCTTGACATGGATTCCCCCAGTTATTGAACTGCTGATTAAAACTGATAGCACCTCAGAATTAGAGGATGCTTGGGGTCATAATATTCCATAACAGAATTCATCAGTTCTTGAACAATTTTAGAATCTGGTGCCTCAGGAAATGTTAGGCTCCTAATAACCAAAAAAGTTGCAGGTCCACACACTGTCAGGAGAATTACACGTTGCTTTTCATCTGCCTAATATCATTTGCCTGGAAAAGATAACACATTCTTTCTACATACTAGGGCCAGTCTTTGGCAGCAAGATCAAACAAGCTTCCCAAATAATAGCATAATGCCAAAAACATTTACCTCCGACTCAAAGACAACTGTTGTGAGCAAATTTGCTCAGCAGCATGTTTTTTTTTTCACTCTCATCACCACTGAAATAATTCCACAGAAACCAACTTCCCATCATCAAGTCACCCTTACACATGCATAGTATTTGACACCAGTCTGGTTTTCTCAGAGCCAGCTCTCAGAATCAACAGAACCGCTGACAGTCCTGTTTATATCTGTCAGCTAGGGCTCCCTGATTGGACCATGTTAACAGTCCCAGCCAGGGAACTCATATTGTATGAGGTTTACCTGACTGACCTCATTACAATCGCTGCACAAACATTACAAAGGTATTTACAAGCCACTTCCGGCTCCAAATTGGTCTGGCAGCATCTGTGAAGGAAAAATCAGAGTTAACGTTTCAGGTCCGGTGGCCCTTCCTCAGGACCTTTTCCAGCAACTTCTGTTTTTGTTCCTGATTTACAGCATCCGCAGTTCTTTCGGTTTTTTATCCAGCTCCAAATCACTCTCTTTTCATCCAGATGGTAACCAGACCCAGGTTCAGCCCAACAGTCTGGTGATGGGCCTTGTGTCTTGAACTCTGTCACACCAAAGTATCTGAGTGGATCACCAGAGGACTGAGAAATTGAGTTCTCACAATCCCACGCGGTATTTACTGACCTGCAGGTTAAGATGTCTGCAGGTCTCAGACTTCCAATTGTGCTCTTCTTCCCATCCCTATTTCCCAACGGAAGGCTAGAGAATTGGGCCCTGCCCAGGTGTATCTGGGTTATATTAGTGGGTAGGATCACCAAGATCAGGCTCAGGGAGGCCTTCATTGGTGCAGCTCACCTTGGATGCAGTTCAGCCCCTATTCAATCTAGGAACAGGAAAACCAACCCCGCAACTTTGCTCCTTGTTTGTCGAGAATTTAAGATCAATTTGGAATATTAACAATTAGGGGAAAGATTTCCTCTGCTTAAGTGAGAAGAGGAATGGGCATAATATTTTGGATTAAATAGCTTAAAATATGCTTTAATGTCACTCCTAAATGGCTATTTCCCAGAAGAAGATAGAACCATTGACCAGTGAGGTTGAGGAGAAGGAAGAGAAAGAGAGGAAACAAAACAGGAAAAGTGATGAGTTAGCTAATTGGAAGGCACTTAGCTTGTATTGAAATAATGGACTATGCCATGATCACCATTGCAAATAAAGCATCACTTGGAAGAAAATAATCCCCATGTTATTCCATTTCTGCCTAAATCCTTTACTACTCAAAGGGTTCCCCTAATGAACACACATTCGCTCATAGCCCCATTTTGTATGATTACCTTTTTGTTGAGTGATCTTTTAAAAAGACAATCTTTTTGGAAAGTATTTCTAACTATTTCAAGCATTCTCGATTTGTAGAATGTTACCCAGATGTGGAGCTTAACCAACCATAGAGAAACACAGATAACAGCAAGCAGCTAAATATAGGGTTATGCCCATTCTGAAGGAAATTAATTCAAGGTTGCAGTAAAGTGTGCATTGGATGTTAACTGTGACTGGATTAACCAGTGGCTTGGACTGTATACTAAAATCCAGCTTTCTTTACAAACAAAAACTGCTTAGGCAAGTACATTTTTGATAATGGAAATTCAGCTGTTTCTTTGTATACGTGGGTATACGTAGCTCAGTTGTGCAGCAATCTGTTTCAAAGCTGGATTTATCTGTTAGGAATTCTATAAAGTACAGAGCCTAGCTCTGTGTACATTCCTGACCAAGATCTGGAACATTTTATGTTCGCATTGTGCATTCCTCATTAGATGTGCCTGTGCCTGCATTGAAAGTCTTCAACTCCCACCCAACTATTCTAATAATTTAAGGAGGGTCTGACGTGCACTTTAGCAGTCTTGTTTGGCGCAGCTAGGTGGAGTTAGCTGATGTCCTTTTAAGCTTGCAAATTTTTTTTGGACACTTCTTGAGCAGCTGTGCAACTGAAGTGAAAGCACACACACACACACGCTCTCCTCTCTCTCTCTTTTTCTCTTCACTCACTGGCTTACGTCCGAGCACAACGAGCCTGAGCTCAGTTGGTATTTTTAATCCCAGTTTGACATTTCTAACCATGGCAGACTCCATGCAGACTGAAGAGCAGGAGAATCCCGAGGTTCCCGAGCCACAGGAGCAAGATGAAACCACCCCGAAACAAGAGCCCCAGTTCAATGGGGTCCTGGTACTCACCCTCCTGGACAAAGTGATGGGTATGGTCGACAAGATCCAAACCAGCCAGCAGCAGCTGGAACAGCGGCATCTGGAGATGGAAACCGCTGTGTACCACATCCAAAACGAGCTGAGCAAGTTGACCAAATCACACGCCACTGCCAGCAACAGTGTGGACAAGATGCTTGAGAAGATTCGGAAAGTCAATGTCAATGTGAAGACCATCAAGTACAACATGGAGAAGCAAGGCGCGCAGATCAAAAAGCTTGAGGCGAATGAAGCCACGCTATTGAAACGGAATAACTTCAAAGTAATGATTTACCAGGTAAGCCTTTCACTGAAGTTAACAGTGCATGTGACAGAGCAATGGTGATATTTGGGCAATCAGGGTTCAGTTTGATGCCAGTACCTTTGTTGTTCTATACATGCTGAAATAATTGAGTGAAAAATTAATCCACATGGTGTAGGAAACCATTTCTTTTTATCTGACACGTAACTCCTTGAGTTTTATCAAAAGTGACACCAATAGAACTTCATCCAGGAGCAGGAGAGAATGTAGTGATGTTGCTTGTTAGTTAGAATAACTGTATATATAAGATTGATCAATGACCTTTGTGCAATGACAATTAGCCGAGCTATTTTCATAGTGCACAGCTAACAATGTGATTCCAGTCCTTTTATACACAAAAAAATCTTAGTCGTGCACATCATCAGACAGTTCAAATCAATCTAGCTTGAGCATGCAGAGCAGTGACCAGGTTACAAGGTGGATGGTATCGTCTGATTGTTATGTAGCAGAGACACTGTCAGCACAGATTTCTGTTTTCAACCAAGCTAAGTCTGTAAAAATGTTTCACCGACACCTCATTATGACATTACTGAACATTACCATAATAGAAAATTGTCCCATTTCACTACACATCATGAACATTGTGCTCAGAGGGAATCTCCTCCAATATGTCACAGCAACTTCATTCTGCTCTGTGATCCTGTGTGTGTGTGTGTGTGTGTGTGTGTCAGTACTTGGCACAGCAGCGAAGGAACCACTAGCTGCAGACATTCTTGTGACATTCTTCCCAAGCAGCCCAAAGCAAACTGGAAAGCACAACTAATGCAAATGAATTACTGAAAAATGAAGCTTCACAGAAAAGCAGAGGTTTGCTCCTGGGGTATTGTCAAGTTTGTCGGTATCATTGACAATTTCATGTAATTGAAAGTCTGCGGCAGAAACCTGGCAGTAAACTGTAACCCATTCCAGCTACATGTGGCATGAGTTGGGTAGGGCTCAATATAAAAGACAAAAATAATAAGGCATGCATCAACATTGAAAATAGACGTGTAAAACAGTTGTCCAGACTTGACTCTTAGCAAATCTAAAGCACCCCTTTGAGGAGCAGTTAGCTTCAGGAAATAAAAATCAATCTTTAACTCTCATGGCAGTGAACATTTTAAAATTAAAGTGAATGGAAATAAAGGTCATTAAAAAGACAAGTTGGACTCTGGGTTTTATGCTTGGGGACGTAGAATATGAAAGGAAAGAATTGTTAAATTTGTGCAAGGCATTAATTAGGACACAGATAGGGTATTGTGTGTAATCCTGCACACCCCATTGTAACGGAACTCCATGGAGAGGGCGTAGTGAAGATTCGCTTAGAATGATAGCAGAAATTAAACATTTTCAATTTAAAGGCAGTCTTGTAAACTCAGGCTTGTTCCAGAAAGATTGAAGGAGAGAAAAATGAAAAAACGATTTCAAAACTACAAATTTTGGGAGGCCACAGGTTGAATAAAAGGATTTACATTTATATAGTGCCTTTTGTGACCACTTACATCTTAGATCACTTTACAACCAAATGAAGTACTTTCTTAGAAGTATACTGACTGTCGTAATGAAAATGAAATGTAATGAAAAAAAAAGTAATGCAATGAAAGATTTTCTTCACTGTTTGACAAATCTGTGACATAGACCACAGTTAAATTTACGCGGGAAAAAGGGGCTAAGTGGAAGCTTTTTCTCACAAGGGATTGTTGCAGACGGCTTTTACACATCAAGCAATATTAAGTTTTTAAAAAGCAAGAGCGTATAGGTACATTCAGAAAGGACACTGGAATGGGACTAAGAAAGACTGAGAATGGCTTCATTCTGGCTCGACTTTGATGAATTGATTACTGTCATATCATTGATCAATAAAGACAAACATTTTGAGACATAGCTTCATATTTCAGATATCTCACCTTGAAAAAATGTCTGTGCCAAAATGTTTTATAAAGGATATAAAAATAGTTATTTATTGCTAGACGGAACCAAACATTCACCAGCGCCTATCAATCAACAGAGAAGTCTACCAATCTTATTTAATTGATCTCAGAGTGTCACTTCAGAAATTATCCTCTCTAACCCTAGGATTCCTCTATTTACAGAAAATAAACGTTGAGAAATCTAAAGCACAATAATCCAGTTCTTTGGTAATTTGATGATCGATGTATCCACTTGTAGATAGGTCCAAAACCATGGTCTCTGTGTATAAGATAACCACTAATAAATCCAAGAAGGATATTTGGAAAAAAAATCTCTTTATTCGTAGAGCAACAAATATGTGGAATGTGCTACCACAAGAAGTGGTTGAGTCAATTAGCATACATTTAAGGGGAAGCTAGTAAAGGATACAGGAGGCAAAAGTAAGAGAAGAATGAGCTGAAAAGCTAAGATGAAGTAAAATGGGAAAGGGTGCACTTCTGAAACATAAGCAACCTCATTGCCCTGTTGGGCCAAATGGCCTGTTTCTGTGTGGCAGTGTGGCTCTACGTACAGTCCTCAAACTAGGTTTGAGCCTTGTGGAGTCTTTCACCATCAGAGAATGCAGCAACTATCAGCTTATTCTGACTGAGCCAATAACCAAATGTATGCAATCTGTTTATGTTATGTCTAAACTGCTTAGAAATATCAGAAAAGTCATGAATAACAGCATAATTGCATTAGAATAATTTGAGAAAAATAACATCCTCATGAATATGTCTTTTTCAGCAATTCTAAGGTTATTTTAATAAAAACAATCTTGGCTGTTCTTGTTTTTGACCTGATACTCTTAAAGTTTCTTCAGAGCTGAAACAGTTCAAAAGAGGTATTGGAATTTTGTCAGAAATCCATAAAAAAAACACATGTTGGACTGGTTTCTGAAAGCTGTATACAGCTGGTCCCCATTTCAGTTATGGCTCTGTCTTGTTGTGAGGCTGTTAGGGACTGCAGGGTCTAGAATTTCTTCAAATCTTAATAATGCATCTGAAAATATGTTTGGCTCCCAGCAAAAATATTAGGCTGAAAGTGAAGTAAGTTTTAGCAGTTACATTTGTGTACTGATGTATGTGAGTTTGCTTCAGATTTCTTTGCATGACAATAGACACAAGGGATTAATATCATGCTGCTGAGAAAAGTATGTGCTTGAGTTGGAAGTAGGAGCAAAGCTGAAGCCAACAGCACCAATGCCAGATACCCACCTAAACTGTTCCCCTCAAAATCATCTTACTGAAGGCTTTAATTCGAATGATTCCTGTCTTGAACTTATTCATCAACTAAACATTCCACCCCAGGTTCGTGGTAGAGAAAGAAAATGCGCTACTTTTGTAGGGCATTTTCTACATTAGTTGACTAAGTTACAGGTGGCACAGTGGTTAGCATTGCTGCCTGTAAGTGCCAAGTTTAATTCCAGCCTCAGGTGACTGCCAGTGTGGAGTGTGCACATTCTCCCGGTGTCTGTGTGTTTTCTTTGAGGGCTCCAGTTTCCTCCCACAGTCTAAAGATGGCAGGTTAGGTGCATTAGCCATGCTAAAATTGCTCCTTGGAGTTCAGGGATGTGCAGGCTCGGTAGGTTAGCCATGGGAAATGTTGGGTTATGGGGATCAGGTACGTGGCTCGGTCTGGATGGGATGCTCTTTGGAGGGTTGGTGCAGACTAGATGGGCCACATGGCATTCTTCCTCAATGTAGGGATTCTATGAAATTAAAACTAGATCAGAGCTCTTATACCTGGCCTTGAACACAAAGGGAATCAAGGAATATAGGGAAACAGCAACAAGATAGAGACATTGCAGAAGATCAGCTTATTAAATGATCATTGGGTGGATGGTCTACCACTGCTCCTATTTCTTATGCTTTTGCCAACGCAAGTAGCAACTCCTGACGTATATTGAATATCACTGCCATAGCTGTGCTGTGGAAGCTATCTTACCATGTCTGAGGTAGTCCAGCTTACTTTAAAGCTTGCAGCAACACTGAGTATGCTCTAGCAATTATGCACTAAACTCTTGATGGCCATATGTTGTCTGATAGGAAATTGGAATCCAGTCTGTCATCTGCAGTAGAGTGGACAATCAAACACACTCACGTACTGTGGGTTGCTGGAGATAATTGAATATCGAATTGACCAATTATTGATTTTGAGATGTAGGTTTGCCGCTGGAGATGGATTTGTTCCCATTTGGCCTTGAAAACCAATGTTCCAAAGGATTGGATGGTCCAATCTGGCAATGCTTCACTGAGAAAATACATGGTTATTGTTGGTTAAACACTAGAAATGTCAACAATGAGATAGTGAAGAACCCCCAAACCATGAACTTTGACAACTTGTGGCTGTGTCCTCTGGGCTTATTTAGGGGGATGGTGCTCCAGCTGCAGAAAATATAGAGGAAATATATCAACAGACAGACCTGCATGCATTATTCTTTGAATTCTGCTTTGAAAGGAAATTTTGAAAACATTCAAGTGGGGTTTCCATGTATATTGCACTCGTAATAAATATCCTGTTCTTTTTGTAAGGATCTTGGTTTTATTTCCCAACAATAGATTCACATTGAGTTCTATGTAATCCTGAGCTGACTATTGAAACCAGTGAGAGAGGAACACCAGTGTTGATCACCCCACCTCTCCCCAAGTTTGCTCTCCCACCAGCACAGCATTTTAGCTCTGTTCAGAACTTCACTTACTTCAAAGGAGATTAAACCTGTGTGGGATTCTTCATGGAGGTCCATCACCAAACAATATCCAGAGGTGTTATTGGTGCTAAAATGTTCAGAGAATGACCAATGCAGTGAACTCTGCAATCTCTCAATATTTACATAACATATTTGTTTTACAAAATTCAAATTTAGTTTTCAGAAAGCAATCTGCAGGAATCCCATGGCCAGATTGCTGTAAAATGTAAACAAGAAAAACTTGTTTTAATAATTTCATAAGTTCACGACGTTCTTAGGCCTTTACAGTCGATGAAGTACTTTTGTAGTTTAGTTACTCTTCTACTGTTAAACAGTGGGAAATAACAGATAGTTCATGTCTGGGGAGATGGCATTTATTTATGAACAGACTGGATAATAGTGGGTA